GCCCACTTCATGGACAAATCTGCACCTTTCACAGCCAGACCTGCCCCGTTCATGGATGGCTCTGCCCCTCTGCGCAGTCTGCTCTTTAATCTGCCCACCTCTATCTCGGACGTTAAGCAGGCAGTACTAGCAGGTATGACATATGTGTGCCAAAGATTAGTGGGAGTTACACTTCTGAATAGTACCTGCTACCATGATATAAACAGAAATAGTTGCCACGTGTGATTGTAACTCCCACTAATCTCAGACAGCCCAGAGACATGTATGTCTTAGTGCTGTCTACAATATTAATTAACATTAACGGGTAAAAAACACACTGAGCTAACACTAAACAATAACCACACCACTTACAGTAGCTTGACACTAACTATTAACATTACACTACCCTGACACTTACACTAACCAAAAATATAATTTAATAAAAAGGCACATAATTCTAATAGGTGAAAATAATGCCATCTTGGGGTTTTGGAGGCATTTATAAGCCACTCAACCTTTGGCCTATATGGTTCATTATGATTAACCCCTCAACCCTTCTATATTATACCCTTCGCCTTAAGTTATATATATATATATATATAGACCAATAAGCTTGCAAAATCTTCTTTTTTTCATGTTTAAAGAAATCAAGCAGGTTTGACTTGTCTGTGGCTGCAAAGATAAGTGAAACTTGAAAACAATTCAGAAGCAGTGGCATTTTGGCTGAGCTATAGTATTAATCAAGAGAGGCAGGCTGTGTCACCCATCACTATGTACTGGTCCCAATCAGCTGTGAAATATTCCACCATTTTCTATTTTATCTGCACAGTCGGCTAAACAAAAAAAAAACTTTAAAAAAATTACAGCACTGAGCAGAAAAATGAGAGAGAACGAGAGTCCTTTTTTTCCTCTTCTTCTCTCTCTATCATGTCAGAATAATAAGAATCTGTGATTTCAGCACTTACGGGGTCAAAGATACACAATGTGTTACACTTTGCAGTGCATTTCCCGCTGACATTTTGGGAAATTGCATTTATGCATAGGACGTACGGCGCTTAAACGCTGCACTCCGATGGTGCCACTGAAACTGACAAGACAGTTTGATTTATGAGCCCAATTCCCTAAAACAGATGCTGAGAGTAGTAGAAGTGTATTTTTTTATATTCCTTCCTGCTTTTATCCATCCTGGCAGTGATCAAGTGATGGATTATGCTGCCTACCGTTGTCTAAGGTAGTTTTAAATTTAATCCCGCAAACAACAAACCAGAAATGCAAAATTTAACTCGTTAGATTGAGAAAAGTTGTATGACTTTTCATATTTAGATTTTTATGACATATCCAGAGGTCTTCTCTACATATCGACAGGACAGGTAGCCTGGGCTTGTTTTATTTTGCTATATTTCATATAGGCTTGTTTTTAACTTATTGGCTTAAAAAAATATAAATACATGTGTGTGCGTGTGTGTGTGTGTGCACGTTCGCACGCATACAGTGTATGTTCAGGTAATGACTTCAAACTTTCAGCTCTGAGAAAAAGGTTGTGCCTATCACTCAAAAGAGTTTCATAGGACATTGCCCAATAAGATTAGCCCGGTGGATCTGTTGATGTTAATATGGATGTGTCATAAAAAAATAAATAAAATTAAAAACTCCCATTTTAATGAGTTACGTTTTGGATTTGAAATTCTTTCCTTTGGAACTATATTCTACTTGACATCTAACCATAAATAAAGTTTATTTTCTGTCATTTGGCATTTGTGACAGATATGCATGTAAGAGCCTCTTTAAAGGGACACAATAGGCACCCAGACCACTTCAGCTCATTGAAGTGGTCTGGGTGCAATGTCCCTTTTGCACCTAGTGCTGCAATGTTAAACGTTACAGTTCCAGAGAGTGCAATGTTTACACTGCAGTACTAAGTATACCAGACAGCCACTAGAGGGTTTCCTGAATCAAAAATAACTGAATAGTATCTGAAGCTGGACGTCCTCACGCTCTGCATGAGGATCTCCAGCATCTGATTTTCACCATAGGAAAGCATTGACTCAATACTTTCCTATGGGGAGGTCTAATGTGCGTGCAGCATTTTCCATGCATACGCATTAGCAACCGCTCATCACGGGCCATCGGAGTGGGACAAGCCAAGACCCAGCGCCGAGAGACATCAGTGCCAGGAAAATGTAAGTAAATAAAAGTTTTTAAACCCTTTATTTACCCAGGCGGGGGTGCAAGAGAGTGGGGAGGCAGAAAGAGCTATGGTGCCAGGAATGACATTAAAGTACCACAATATTTTGCCATATTTCGATACTATTACAATATGTTAGCATGTATACAATAATAAACGCAATTTTGCTGAGCAGAATTGCCGGTGACTGTCATACACTTCATAAAGTCATATTAGAAAACAAGAACATTGCTTCTTCACACATGTTGGGAAGAGCTTAGCCTGTTAAAAATGTTATTGTTTAGTGAAGGACCTGATAATTAAAATTCTCATTTACATACAGACACATTTGCGTTTGAACATTAAATCAACACAAGGTATTTTCCTAAAAACTCTAGGAGAATTAGTAGGTATATGTTTCTTATACTAATATACATAGTTTATGTGGATTACATGTTCATTCAGCTGATACTGCTAGCAGATGGTAAATGAGCTCCAAAATAATTAGACACACATAGCAATTTAACAGAATCCTATTATTATGCTATATAGTAAATTAGACAGTCTACTCCAGACAGATCCATAAGTTGGATCTGGCTAAAATGCAGCTTTGTATATAATTTTACTTTAATAAATAAATAAATAGGCATCCATCTATATTTGTGGGGAAAAAAATCAATGTTATTTTGTTTACAATATATTCTTTTATAATTATATAATTCTTCTACTGCTATTACTGTCATTAAAATAGTGAAGGCAAAGTCTGATATAAATAGTATAAAGTCTTCTTTGTATAAAGAAATGGAGGGTAATTTAGTGTAAGCAATTGGCACAAAAAAACTTTTATTTTGGATTTTTGTTTAAAAAAACGTAGGTCATGTTTACAACCTTGTCTACTTTTTAGCGACTTGTTACCGTGCCCACACTACCGATATAAAGTGGTAGCTCTTTCCCAACTGCAAAATGTCACAAGAAGCGACAGGAAGTTACTGTCTGACACTATTGAAAACCAGTCAATAAGTAGCAGCTAATGGATTTTATTGTCTTTATTGTCTTTTGATTGTCTGGTTGCCACTAACCACTACCTCCCGATTGGTTTCCAATCCTGACTACTCATTACTGGGTGCCGCTAACCCAAAAATCCTAATACCAGCCTCTGGCCTGTGTAAAGAGGTTAACGGCAGCAAAAACCCTGTAAATCTGGTTGAAACAAAAAATCCTGTCATTATGTTTTAACAGCCAACCAACACTTCCCTGTCACTACGGGTGCGGTGTACATTGTCAGTTGTGTATTTCTGTGCTTTACCAACAAACTGCCAATATGAAAATGGTTATAAATGATAGAATACAAAAATTAGGTAACTATCGACTAAGTTTAATATTTTTTGATAAGCTATCCAAATGATTTCATACTTTTGGATGCACTTTTAACATGTTAGAGATTACAAGCTATTACCAAAATATTGAAGGGTTTGAAAAGTTTACACGAAAGTGATATATAGAGGCCAAATTTGGAATTTGAAATCACAAAAAGCTACTGGTTTTTGTTTATAGCGACAGCTATTTACAGACTATCCCAAGACAAACCCATCCATAGTGTAACATTGTAATTGTAACATTGTAACTTGCGATGCATAGCTAACACAAATATCGGAAACATTTACAAATGTGCTTTTAAAGTTCTGCCGAAGTACTCATTATATAATAAATATATACATTTACAAGCTTTAGATAATAATAGCTATAACAACCACATTAATACTATTATATTTACCCAATACATATTTAATAGTTTCCAAATGTGTCCAGGACATAAGTATATTTAATCAGGTTCAAAAAAGGCAAGAAGTGGAGTTAACTTGAAAATTTACATAAAATGTTAAACTTCCTACTTTATGACGTATTGTATATGTCTTTATTGATAGTGATTGTGCAGTTTCCGTTCCGTTTGATCGCTGTCTGGAGAAGCTGTTGAAATTGGAAATGTCAAAATCTTGGGGAATTTGTGAAAAACATCTCTACTCCATAGTGGAGTACATGGGGTTAAATACACAGAGTTTAACAGGCTGGAAGGTGGAGTTTACAGGAATATGGGATAGGGGTGAAATCCAGTGCCCCTTATTTAAAGTTCCCCAGCCTCAACTGGCAAGAACCACAAAGACTTCAGGTTTTTTTTTTTTTATGTGTTTTTATTGAGTTTTTTATTTTATTTTACATGTAGCAAAATAATACTCCAGAGAAGACGCACAGGTCTCTATGGTTGAGTGACATATGTAAAAACTTTGTATCTTATTCAGTGCTGGTGATCTGTTACATTAATAGGTCATATTGTATTTTCTGCTTTGATATTATTTCAAAGGAGTAGTATTTGGTTGTAGCTTTGATTGCCTGTCCTATGTGCAATAAGAGTTGTAAGGCGTTACAGGTTGGTGTATTCCTATAGTATTTCAAGTAGGATATGTAGGCCCTACCTCATAGCTCAAATATACAAGGCTATCTACCCTGCAATGGGACCACTGTCTTATTGTCAGTGGTGTGTGTCCACTCTCTTCCCGTCCATTACCCACGGCTCCCCACCCATTATGTAAGGCTCTGATCTCACTCTGAGCTATCTTATTGGGGAGGGAGCTCAAATGGTGTTGCTCTGTTTGTGTACACCCCTAGTTGTGTCCTCCCTATATCCCCCAGGCACTCGGATTGGATTTTAGGATATAAAGGTGAGGTAGGTATAGAGGAGAGGGGTATAGAGTGGCAGGCCGTGGCCATTAAGCCTCTCCCAAGAGCCTCCCCATTGCCCCGGTCATTGTTAATTGCTCGTGTTTACAGATTTCGACCCATAAACGTGAACCATGGCTGTCATGTCTCCATGTGTCTAGCCCCCCTTCCCAACAGTGTAGCATAGAGTGCTTACGCTGTCTGAATGTACTTGACCCTATGGGTCCACTCATCTCTCCTGGGGACCTCTGACCATCTCCAGTACTTCAGGATAAGGAGCTTGGTTGCATTCAGTAAATGACGGAGGATCGATTTTTTGTATAGTGAGATTGGTCTGGATGAAATGTGCAAAAGGGCCCGATCAGCTGACCAGTCGGCCTGGTCTCCCAATATTATTGTTATGTACATTTTTATCGTTTCCCAAAAGAGGACAATGTCCTTACACTCCCACAAGATGTGTATTGTCGTCGTCCCTTTCCTGTTGGTATCTCCAGCATGTTGAGGGGATCGCGGGGAAGACTGTTGAGAAGGGTCGGGGTTTTATACCAGAGGGACACAAGTTTATAGTTTGTCTCTTGGTATTGTGAGTTGATTGAGCTTTTATACTGCCAGAGTAATGCTTTATCCCACTGCGTTGGTGTGAGTGTCTTGTCCAAGAGCACTTCCCATTGCCTTTGGAAGGTTTTGTTTGCCATCCGGTTACCCACTAGAATGTGTTGATATATCATGGAGATAGCTTTTTCCAGGGTGGCTTCCCTTACGCAGAGATCCTCAAGTGAGGTGAGTTCCCTTTATAAGTTGTTTTTATGTGGGATTGAGTTGTAATAGTGGGCCAATTGCGTGTAGTGAAGGGCGTCCAGTAGTGTCCGTTGTCTTCCCTCCAGCATGGAGTCCAGGCTTCTCAGGATCCCCTCCCGTACAGCCCTCTGGATAGGTATGTACTCCCCTTCCCCTAAAAATGACCAGGCTCTCGATGGTAGCGCTAGACTCCCTCTGTGTCGAGGTAGGCATAGTATGTCATAGCGAATCTAGGATCTTTCCCCCTCAATACATATTTGATAATTGCAGTTTTCAGCGATTGTAAGAACGAAGTCGGCAAAGCCAGTGGGATGGTCTGAAAGAGACACAGAGCCCTGGGTAAAATATTCATCTTAACCACCGCTATTTGTCCTTGCCATGTCACATGTGGGTATGCCCATCTAGCCAAGTCGGCTATCAGTGTATTAAGCAGAGGTATGTTGTGTTGGTAGAATTCTCATGGCTCCTTAGTCACCCAGACTCCGAGATATTTCATTCTGTCGGAGCACCAGTGGAATGGGAACAGTGGGTTCAGTACGGTGTATTTGTGTTCTACTCTCTGCAATGTATATCGGGATTCTGGCGTATTGCTTGTAATAAGGGCTCCAATGACATTGCGAATAGCAAGGGCGAGAGTGAGCATCCCTGTCTTGTTCCGTTAACAATGCTAAAATCCGGTGTCAGGGCCCCGTTGGTTTAGTGTATAACGCTTTATCCAGGTGAGTAACCGTTCTCCCAGGCCCATCATCTTCAGTGTTGTTAGCAAAAACGACCAGTCAACCCTGTCGAATGCCTTCTCTGCGTCTGTTGATAACAGAATTAGGCATTTCCTTGTCTTTCTCGTGTGGTGTTGAATAAAGAAGAGCGCAATGTACTGTCCAGCGCCTCCCATCCTGGAATGAATACTGTCTGATCCTCCTGGATCAGGGTTGGTAGTATGGATTGCAGTCTGGTAACCAGGACATTCGTGAACAATTCAGTGTCCACGTTTAACAAGAAATATCGTCCGGTAGCTACCGCAGTTCATTGGGTCCTCTCCAGGTTTGAGTAGGACCATTATGGTCCCCCTCTGCTATGGCATTAATCGCTTTCGTCAATTACTGTAGAGAAGTTCTTTTAGTATCCTGCGAAAAAGCCACCTAGATCTGGTGCCTTACTGGTTTTGGTGGATTTCAGATCTATGGATAGTTCTTCCATACATATTGGAACGTCCAACACAGTCACCCATTCCTGGCTCACCCTCCTGCCAATATGGGCATGGAGATATTTGGTGACTCGTGTGTGTGTTTCATTGGGGATGAGCCAATCCCCTCAGTTGTGGATACGTTGTATATGGTATGGTAGAATTGTCTAAATGTTGTTCGGGAATCAGGATGTAGTCCCGGTGGACAAGCGTAATTTGCACACTTGAGTGCGCGGGGTGTTGCCCTTTAATAGTCGAGCCAGGAATTTGCATCCCTTATTGCAATGCGTAGAAGAAGTCTTGTGAATGTTGGAAAGAGCGAAGATACCTACGTGTGAGGAGTTCCTTCAGTTATTGTCGGGCCTGCATGAGTTCCCCAGAGACAGCCATCAGTTGCGTTCGTTTATGTTGATATTCAAGGTTTGAGATTAATTTGGATAGATTCGTCATCTCCTGTAGGGTTGTCTTCTTTTTCTGAGAAGCAAGATGAATAATTGTGCCACGTATAACACTTTTATGGGCCTGCCAGATCAGATTGGTGAGATCTTTTTGTATCATTTTCCTGGAATTAAAGCTTCAGTGCTTGGGTGATATGGTTTTGAAACTCAGGGTCCATAAGCAGGGAATCGTTGAGTCTCCACGTCCATGCTAAGGGGCGGAACATATAGGATTCAAGTTCTGCGTGGACTGATCCATGGTCTGACCACATAGCGGGTTTAATTGTGGCTTTCAGCAATTGTGAGAGGCCTTCCTATTTAATAAAGAGTTAATCGATGCGGGCATATTGGTCATGAAGTGCAGAATAGTGTGTAAAATCCTTAGTGGTGGGGTGGATTTTACAGCAATCCAACAGTCCCATATCTCCCAATGATCTGGGTATGGAGCAAATGCACCTCTGGGATATACAGTTGTGTCCCGATGAGGAATTAAGGAGCGGGTCCAGGGGCTCCCCCCAGGATCAGTGCGCCTTCCGAGAAGTCTTGCAGTTTAAGTGTTCCCCTGAGAAATTGTGCTTGTCTCTTGTTGGGAGCATATAGGGACACAAAGGTATACATATTGTCTGCTATTAGGCCCAGCGGGGATCCACCACGACGTCGTCGGTTAGCCTGGTGCTGGCCAGGCCTCGTCCCCAGAGGGTCTAGGACCCAATTGGTGACCGAGATAGGTGGAAGGCCCAATTCCTCAACTTCGGGGCAGTGGATAGAGGTCCGTTTCAGTGAAAGGCCAGTAAAACAATTTATAGGTTGTTGCATTTGTAGGTGTTGCTGCAAACGCGCAGTGCGGAAGTCACAGGTTGGAGTGCTCATCAGGCGTCGAGGGTAATGGCAGAGAAATCGTTATAAAGTGATAACTGAGCTTCACGTTAAGGCCACGTGGGTCTGTCTTGGGCTTTCTTCATGGTGGCTTCTTTAACCGGCATGCAGGCAGCAGATCAGATCTCTCAGTCCTTCTTCTTGGAAACGCGGTTTTAAGGATCGGTGTGCTCTCTCGTATTCAAAGTGCTGTAGAGCCTCATCTTGTAGTATGGATCGGAACAGACCCGAAAGTGTTTCCTCCACATTTTCCTCTCCATCTGTCTCTGGAAGACAGCAAATCCGGATGTTACATCCATGTTCAGGATCATGTCGCCCTGCCGAGACACAAATTTGTTAGCACAATGTATAGATGGAATTTAATGCTCTTTTTAAAGAGTTAACATTGTTTGGGCAATAGAGGTGCACTAAAATATTTAGAAAATTACATTATAATCCAGTACAGACAAGGAAAAGCCAGTGCAAACATTTCAAATGAAAAAGAAATAGAAACATTGCTTTGTTTCTCTTCTTCTCTACATGTTATCTCAATACTGACTTTTGGGTACCAAAGACTTATAACAATGATTGACACTTGATAGTGAGCTAAAATGGACGGTTCAGTTGCAGGACAAATGGGTATGTATATATTTCTTCATTTATTTTTATTTTCCACACCTCACAAATACATTTCGCTAAAGATATGGATAACTATGCGTAACATTAAATAAATTGGAAGTGACAGATCCCCGTTAAAGAATATGTAAAATGTGATGTAATAGAGAAAACAGTTGGAGGTAAATAATCCAAACGATGATAATATTGCCACGATATGTTTTTGTTGTCAATTTAATATTTTGACGTTAAAGGTTTCTTTTCACAAGTGCACTGCTAAATATGTCTGTCTGGGTTCCATATTATATTATTATTATTATTACTTGTCAACCCACATCTTATATTGTTTATTTTGTAAACAGTTTTTTCATTTTTTTTCCTCCTTCTCTCTACTAATCTCCATGCAATGTAAGTATTCATTATAGCTCCAACAGCAGAGACATGTTTGTTTTGTGCACTTTGCATGTTGCACACACATCAGAAGAAGAAGATTTAAATTTTATACCTGTCGTTATATTAATGATGAACAGTGAAATCATTCATGTGGATCACATCGCACTTCTACACCTCATTTGTTTTTATTCTTATTTTTCACAGCTACCTAATTCCAAACATCCTACGGTAATGACTGCTGTTGTAGTGCAGATACAGAGAATACATTTCTGCTACTTTCGTTCCTAGGTCTAAATGTAAGGATTTCTTCTTAAAGGGCAAATCAAATTAAAATTCACGTTTTCTCAATATTTAAAAGACTCTCGGTGGATTCAACAAACTTCTTCATGCAATGGAAAAAGTGTGCAATTAAAGAAATGCATAAAAATACTAATTTCATGATCTGCTGCCTCTGCAATAACAAATCCTGGTTCTACAAAACCCAGTATGAGAAAGTTGCAATTTTCCGATAAGATATTACTTGCAGAGGTTTGTGGGGACAGACAGGGCCGGCCTTAGGGGTGTGCGAGCTGTGCGGCCGCACAGGGCGCCATGGAGCAGGGGGCGCCCTGTGGCCGACACAGCTCACATATGGCTGGCTGGAATTTTTTTTTAAAATATAAAAAAATTGTGGTGGGGCGGAGCTTCCCATGCGGCGGGGGCGGAGCTAAAAGCGCAGAAAAACTGCTGCAGGGGAAGCAGGAAGGAGTCCCTGCTTCCCCACCAAACAGTCTCCAGGAGCTGCACTGCCTCCACAATGAACTCCACAGGTAACCGTGTGATTGTCAGTGTGAGTGTGACTGTCTGTCTGTGTGTGTGTATGAGTGTCTGCCTGTGTGTGTCTGTGTGTGTGTGTGTGACTGTCTGCCTGTGTGTGTGTGTATGACTGTCTGCTTGTGTGCGTGACTGTCTGCCTGTGTGCGTGACTGTCTGCCTGTGTGTGTGTGCGTGACTGTCTGGCTGTGTGTGTGTGTGGATGTCTTCCTGTGTGTGTATGGCCGTCTGACTCTGTGTGTGTGTGCGTGTATCACATACAACCAATACACGCATATCACACACTGTTAATACACCCATTACAAATATCACACACAGCCAACACATAGCATACATATCACACACAGTCATCACACCTACTATCACATACACAGGCAACACAATCATTACATCATACATGGATGACGGGGGGGGAGGGGGCACTGTGAAGATTTTTCGCACAGGGCATCTAAAGGCCTAAGGCCAGCCCTGGGGACAGGCCATATATTTTGCTTTCCTCTACCCCAGGGATTTCTATTTGCCATACACAAGTTCTGTTCCCCTCTCATGGAAAACCATCGAAGAGCAATATATTTCTCACACTTATCTTGGTTAAACAAAATCCATCTAGCATTATCCAAAACTTCTGAATCTTTTCTTTGACTGACTGCAGTACTCATGTTATATATATAAGAATGAGAGATGTCAATAGACAGAATTGTGTTTAAAGTTAAAGTAAAGTGGAGGTTTCAGCACCATAACCACTACAGCCCACGGTCTCCTGGAAAGTAGTGAAAGCTTTTTCAAATGATTTGACGGCTATACTGAGTGTTTCCAGTCTAAGCTCCTTTTCTCAGATCACTAACATGGAAGTTCATACACTCCACTTGCAACGAATTGTAATCAAATATGAACAAAATTGATTGCGAAATGCAAACTTTTGCTTTCGATATATCACAAACTGAGGCCAGACTAGGTGTACTTGAGGGTTAAGAATAATACAGCGTGTTGGCACTAAGGCACTCCAGGCATGATAACTGCTACAGGGGCCGTAGTGGGTATGGTGCTTAGACTGTCTGCTACTGTTAACTAAATTGATCGTTGCAGATTAATATGTTATTATGTGACATATCGATGCCCCTTTAGCCTCCTAAAAATGGCTGTGATCAGTGTTCATAGAAAACTTAGTATTTGTGTTGAGAGTTAATTTTAATCTGTTTATTTTATTGTAAAATGTTAAATCTTTTAATAAAAACTATTTGAAAGAGAATTCATTTTAATCTAGTAAAATTGTAACTAGTACTTAACCCCTTAAAGGGACACTGTAGTCACTATAAGCATTTCATCTCTTTGAATTGGTTATAGTGCCTGGAGTACCCTGGCACTGTCCCTCCATTCAGTGTTGCGCCATGTTCGTGCAGTATGCCACAAAATAAGAGTCCCTGGCCACCCACAGTCCGGCCCTTCAGTGTGTGTAGCTAAGGCACAGATTACACACTTCCTTGTTGTCATACCCTTTCATACCGTCAGTTGGAACTCTGACAGGCTAAAAGCAGACAGCTGACACTCTCAGCCAATTACAGCTGCCCATTGCTGCTCAGGCTAATACTTCCTTATTAGCCAAAGCAGCACAGAGGGGATGGATTGCCGGGGACTCTTGTTTAGCATTAAAACATTAAAACTTTAAAAACTGTTTAAGGCTGATAGAAATGATGGGACCAGAGGATTCCAGACACTATAACCAGTTTAATGAGATGAAGCAGATACAGTGCCTATGGTGTCCCTTTAAGGACTGGACTGTTTTTGTGATGTTGTACATTTGCGACCAGGCCTCTTTTTACACTTTTGTGGTGTTTGTGTTTAGCTGTAATTTGTAGTTGGTGATATATTATATTAATATGTTGAGTTGATGTTAATGACACCAAACACGTCTGAGTCTTAATATTTAGTTGTAATTTTCCGATTTCTCATTTACTGTTCCCATACAAATTATATATTGTTTTTATCAGGGCAAAACATTTATGACAAATAAGTGTGAATATCCCAAGATTGCCATCTACTCCCAGGAAATTTAGCCAAAAATCAGTGAAGAACGTATGAATATCTAACATACAGGACTTTATTAACAGGCCAACTGAATTTCCAGCTTTTCATTAAATGTCCATGGTACGTTTTTTTAATTTAAATTCTTCCAAGCTCATCTTATACTATTGTCCACTACTCCCATTGACTTCACCTTCTCCCAACGCGTTTTAACCATTACATTGCTTTCTTTTCAGCTTGTCATTGCTAGAAACATCCTTCCATTCATTTCCAATAATCTCCTTTGCAATATATGATGTATGGATACATATTTTTTAAAAGTTGTTTTCCATTTTCTAAGCTCTTTCCATCTCCTATTTTACCTACTTGGACACCTACCCATATATATATATACATAGACAGGCTCCATTATTAATAAACACACACAATCACACTTTCACAATCAAGCTCTGATATCTTCCCACACACTATATACCACCTACTCTCTGACAAATACATATTTTAACATCAACCTACTTACGTTGCCTCCTACCTGCATATATAAACTATATATAAACATGCTCTGACATCAGTTATTAATGTCTGTTTATCACAATATAAAGCAGCTGCTAATGAGGCTTCTGGAAGAAGAGTTACATCTCTGACAGCAAAGTACTATATCTGACTGTCATGGAGCTTGGCGTAACGTTTTAACCAGTGGTCATGGTGTTTTGAGTAAATCTTTAATAAATCTTAATAAAGCTAGTGTAGGGATTGTGGCTTTGCTAAAGCAATTTGCACACTAACACACACCTTT